TGAAGACCGTAGCGTGACTATAACTTTTTTTCAAAAGGAGATATATATGGGCGTTTGCAGGAATTCTGTATATCCCTACTTAAGTGACGAAGCAAAGCGCACAAAACATGGAATAACAAAAGAGGAAGCCGTCAGGATAATTGATTCGATGTGGCGTACGTTGAATAATAATAATTCAGTAATACATATTGTAAAATATATAACATGTGAAAACTAATGATCACTTTAATAAGGAATCTCGGCCACTGGCGGTTTGTTCCACAGGACGGGCAATTGTCAGGGGGGGGGAGGGAATTTTCCCTGCACCTTTCTCTGAGACCAAGTTATAGTTATATAGAACAAGTTACAAAAATATAAAACGCTTATATCTTGTTTTTACAAATCATGTTACAAAAAAAAATTATAACGGTTTTACAAATTGCAATATTAATATTAAAATATTCATTCTACGACATAACCAAAGAATTTTTTTTTTACGCGATTTTAAGTTGTTTGAAAAATAAACAAGTGAAACAATTAAAATTATTGCTTTTAGATTACTATTGGTATGTATAATAACCTTAATGGCCTTATATTGTTCATAAAAACGAAATAATAATAATTGCAACCACTCAATTCGTTACAGAATAATACGAGTAATCTAGATTGGTAAATTTTAATGTGAATATTTTACAATGATTTCTAGTTAGTTACGATATGTCGAGAGAGGAATTTAAAAAATCAATAGAATCAAAATTTACTGAAAAGGTAATTTTTAATTTTTTCTTTTTAATTATATGACACATTAAAAAAAACATTTAAACATGAAATACTCTATAAACCTAGTGAAAAATGTAATACTAATAACTCGAGATACATTATTTCTATTTAATAGTATTCATTTTTTGTACTAAAATAAAAAATGTAATGATTTTAGCAACTCCGTGAAATTTTTTTTGGTGTCTTACATACTCCAGAAATAAAGAAATACATGTGTTTCGAGTACGGTTGTACCAGTAAAGTTACTAAGCGTAGAGTTAAAACCTACTTACTGGAGCATCAACAGCAATATGGACTAAATGAAATGGAAGTCGAAGAGATAATTAAACCCTTGAGTGGTACGTCGAATAATAATAACTAATTTAGGAATATATAATATTGTAACATATTTAACATATGAAATGTGAATAACTAATGATCAATTTGATGTTGTACATAAACTATTATCGATAGGTAGCGTGCTTTTTTTTTTATATTTCTGAGGAGTACTTTAAATATTTTACAGATGTCGTCTGTAAAAATAATTAGGAAGAACCAGTTATACACATTTTAAACAATTTTATCTTCTCATTCTACGAAATATGTTACATAATAATTTTATAAAACGCAATAATAAGAATTGCAACCCGTCAATTCGTTACGGCAAAGTAAAGTTTGATATATTTTAATGTGAATACTTTTGTGTAATGATTTCTAGATAGTCATATGGAATGGTCGGAATTTAGGCGTTTAATTATTCTTGGAAATTATGATTGCTAGAAATAGGCAAGCAATGTTTTCAACCTTATACCATAACATAATAACTGAAGTTGTTTGTGATCAATGTCATCTAACTTATTTCATCGGAGAAACAATCACCGTCAATTGCATTGGGGATGACTAATTAGAAAAACATCATTAATATAGTAAAAAGTATTCACTTGCTTCTCAGTTTTTATAATTTAGACCATTTATCTTAGACATTAACTCATTAAAAATTATACAGTTATATTGTTACTATACTTAAATAATTATTCCAAACCACATTTGTATCGAAATTATCAAATGTAATGTATCTTATAATAAACCGTGTTACTTATGATTATAAACTCATTTGTTGCTTTTTACCTGTACACAGATTCGATTCAAAGTGGTTTTGAAAAAAGATTATTTCTTTTAATTATCCTCTTTAATTGCTTATTATAAGCCATTCAAACCGTATGTTTATTTGTAAATAAATAAAACTACTTCGATTCACTCGATTAATTAGCGATTAATTATTATCTGTACATTAAATTCTTTTGGAAAAAAAAATGTTAAGCAATTTGCAGAATTTAGAAATAAAACAATTATTCTCGATAATGTTAAGAAGAAACGACTTTTAGTTTTGGTATAGGCGCAATAAATAGGCAAAACAGGTACAAGCATGTAAACTGTAAAGAAGAACCAGAGTAAAATAGATAGGTAGATGTTTTATTACTTTGTTTGTGATGATATCACGTCCTAGTGATTTGCTTGATTGGTAACTTAACGATTTTGTACTGTACTTCAGTACAGTTACTATAATAACTACTATTGGGAGAAGGGATAGTATAAACTCCTCAATTTCTTTACCTTTTCCTAGTTGTTGAGGAAGCAGGACAATGGGATGTGGCTGTAAAACAATTATCCTTAGACAAGGTGAGTCGCATGAAAATAGATAACGAGAAACTCGTTATCTTTAAAAGAAACAAACAGCCCTGTGAAGCTACTTGACGACTTTTTTTATTGAGACTTATGATTTTTAAGTTGATTATTGAAACAAAAATATTTGTATTTCTACATTCAGTCTCGGGAAAAAACATAAATAACTGTATAAAACAACCAAGATGCTAACTTGTTTATTTTTAATGCATACCAAATTTTCTTAAAAATGGGCACTCCACAGTTGGGATGCTGGTACATTGGTCTGATGACCAGTGGACTTTTTGGTTTGTTTAGGCCAAAAATGAGACCCTAGTTTTTTTTAAATTGTTTTCCACTCGTTTTATGTCAAAAAGCCAGGAAAAATTGCTTCCTACATAACATGGAAAATTAGCTAAAGAACTAGAATCTTTTTACAGAATTGAAATTGGACCATCCTATAAAGTCGAAATTTTGTCTGGCTTTTTGGTCTAAAACAATCCAAAATGACTTATACTTATAGGACCAATTATTTAAATAAAAAATAATAGCTACCTTGAAGCTTGTAAAAATTAACCGACAAATTAATTTACTACATGGTTGAAATTGATTAAGACTTCTTTTTTCTTAAATATTACCTATATAAAACTCCTTAAAAACAGACAGTATGCAATATCTATAAATATAGAGACCACCCTCCAAAAAAATGATAGCTAATTTTTCTTCTTTCAGTTTGTTTTGGCCATTTTTATCAAACTTTTATTAGGCATGTCTCTTTTAAAAATTATTTTTATACAAATAAATCATGCCACTTTTTCAGAAATGTGGATTAAATTTATTTTTTGTCGAAAAGTTATAGAACTGAAGAATAAGTAAATTGTTAAGACATTTTGGACTGGAGGATTGAAAATTTAAATATATTTAAGTTTTGGTGTTATAAAGGACATAATATTATTGGAAATGATTTCTGATCTATGAACCTCCGCTTATGTAAAACCAGTGCACTCACAGCACCACATCAAAGCTTTTAGTTTTAAACGGTTAAATATATTCGTCTTTGCATTTATGCATTGATTTATTTTTAAAAACGTTTGTGTTTTTTGAATGTACATTTATTGATCAATGCAAATATTATACAGATAAATCCATTTAATTGGGTATTACACATTATTTGATTGCATTTACTCCAAAAAGCCTAACATATTAACTATTGAAATTTCTAATATATTTTTAATTTGTCGGTTAAATTTAATCATTTAATTTATGAAATGGGATAAAAGTAATAAAGATGGTACAATTGTTTGAAATAGACTTTCAGGAATTGAAAACTACTGATGGTCTCACAAACATCTAAAAATGTAGTAAATAAGTTGTAAAATAGTGCGCTAAATATTAAAAAAAAAAACATGTGGCCATACTTACAGAAAAATATCAAGGTGACTCATATACAATTTTATCGGTTTGAAAAAATAAAAACAACAGATATTATAGCGCTTACACATTTTATAAAAGCCATACCACATTATCTGATTTAAATGTATAAATACTTATAAAAATTAAAACAAAATAAATAGCGGCCTTTAATCGATTAATCAAGCGAACTTCTAAATATCAAGGCATTTTTTTAAACTTTATACCGAACAAATAAAAACATTTTTTATTTTAATTCTACCTACATGTGTAGTTTAATGTTTTTTTTATAATTTTACTTTGTCACGGTATAACATATTGCCATTTAGTTAGTATAATAAAAACAAGCCTAACAAATACCTTAGATATTTACCCGAAATTATTGTACTTACTTAATAACTAAAGTGTAGGTACCTATTTTTTTATACCGGTATAAATTTAACTACACTGGGCTCCAACAATACCACACATCCTTATATTAAAATGTTGGTACTTTTTTTGTAAAAGAGGCTAGATAGGTATTAGAGGCCTCTCATTTTGTGTACAATCTAAATTGTAATACATAAGCAGAAAAATATCGTGCGCGTGTATTGCTAAAATAATAACATGTTTTCACATTAAACTAGAAAAATATGTAGGTTACCTATGTACAAATATATCGGTTTGAAAAAAAAACAGATACGTATAATATATTAATGGCTTACGGTTAGGCTTAACTAAGTAGAACCCTACACATGTTTTGTATATGTATATATATAGGTTAGGTATATATATATATATATATATATTTTACTCGTATGTAGCACTTATGCTCTTTTGATTTATATTTATAAAGATTTTTTAATCGTTTAAATAAAAATGCCCTCAGGCAATTAAAAAAAAAAAAAGTTAGGTTAGAGGCTGTTATGTATAAAATATATATGCTTTACAAATTATGAAAATGATGTTTTTTTCCCTCTTCGGAACAAGGTGAAATGACTCCGACATATTTTCTATTATTGTAAAATATGTAATGTATATTCTAATCCATCTAAAACACTTCGTTAACTCGGTGTAAAAAGTTGTTAAGTAGAAGAAAAAAAGTAGAGATTCATCTTAGCTAATGGATATCTTAAGTAGATTATTATTTTTAAATAAATCGTAAAGTCAGAAATGAATATAATAAGAAATTTCTGCTTTATTCCAGGAATCAAATTCCTAACCGGTGTGTACGCGTTCATGTTTTGTAAGGCTAATTTTTTTAAAAAGTCTTTTTTTTCAACTTCTATCGCAGACTCAAAATAATTACCTGCCACTTTAACAACCGTTTCTCTTATACTAAAATGCAATACCAAATGATGAAACTGACGAACGTCCCACGTTAAGTGCTCAAGTATTTTTGGAAAAAATATTTGATGGTAGAAAATTTCCCCACAAAACCATTCCAACATGCGATAGTGAAGACCTTCTTTTAATGGTACGCGTTAAATAACGTTGCATGAGTATCAAAGAAATATAAATAACAATAATTGTATGCTCTAGAATGAATTCGCTAGAACGAAGGATCCACAAATAGAAAAATTTGAAACAAAAAGAGATGCATACGTTGCAGAATTAATAGCAAGTCCAGAATTCGATGGTTTGAGGAAAAGATTTGCAAATAAATTTCAGCTTGACTTGGACGTGGTTGACTACAGTAAGTTGTTAAAACTTTGTAATGTACAGGCAACAACTTCAGAAGTCGGGGCTTTTAACAGATAATAAATAATAATAAAAAAAAGTAGTAAGACTCATCAATGTTTATCTTTATTTTTTCTGAGGTGTGGTAAAAGGCTTTTGGGAAGTTTGCCGCTCAATGAGATTATACACAAATAATAATAATTTTATCATTTGCCAGACGTTTAGCGACGAAGATGCTAAAGTAATCATTCTTATATACCTTATTGTGTACAAGTGAGACGTGCAATTGATTCTGGCGAAATGTTTGCAGGTAATGTTACGAGCCGATGAAGATTATTGGGCTTTGTTTACTGCCAGTGACAATATTTACAACGCACAACTTGCTTGCGGTATGATAGAGCATATTGCATGTTTTTCGAAGAGGTATAATGTATGTTAAACACAAAAAAATTATTCAATAAAAATTAGTATCGGTTTGTTTCGAATCACACGTGTATGTTTTTTATTATGCATTTATACATATACATCTCTACAGTTTATTACATTGTGTTTCAAATATAAATTCTATATTAATCTCTATTTGGAAGTTATCTACTGTTACTCAGTACTAATCCTCAGTTATGATGGCCAGCACAGTTCCCCTACATCTTTTTCTTCAAATAACAAACTCTTTATTTTAAAAACGTGAAACAAATTGCAAAAAAAAATGTTTTCACTTGACTACCGTTTTACACATACTTAAAACAGTTTCCAGATATTGATGAAGATATTGTCAAGTTAATGTGTCTTGTGTTTTACATGTACCAAAATTAATCTCAAAATTATAATTTATTGTCGTAGTGTTATAATAACTTGGCGTTTATTTTATAATTATTATAAGTAATAAAATGATTTTAATTATTATTTATAATTTTTTTAGACATATGGATAGAAAACCTGGATTTTTATATAAATGTTTATGTGATATACATTATATCAACCTATTTTTAAATTTTAAACAAATGCAACAGCCAAAATGGAATAATACTTGTCTAAATAGAAATGTTATCACTTTAATACTTAAAATATAATTTTATACACATTATTGCTGCTTTTACAATAATTTGTATGCATGTTATTTTGTAGATCTATGAAACATTAATAATTAGACCAAAAAAAAACCTTTATGTTAAGACTTTAAATAAAATGGCTAATAACTAAGAAGTAATAATAACCAAACAGATAATATAATTTGTTTATGACCTCATAACTATTACATATACATCATAAAAACAGGATTTTAATTTTAAAATCGAAAAATTCAACAATATACTTTATATTTTATTTATTTTTTAACTAAATGGCAAATTATTATGGTGTATGATTAAAAGAGGAATAACAGATATGTACGTAGAACATATATTTGATGAATCCAAGGTTTAATACCGTAAAGCGTGTAGGTTCTACAGGATTAAAAATAAAATGCATACACAAAACATATTTTGTTTTTCATATAATTTAATTTGCTTAGTTTAGAAGGTGTACGCGTCTTACACAAAGTTGTTTTTTACAACTGATACCTACATAAGCCATTGCTCCACCTATTTACAGAGTAATTTTTTTATCGTCGGCCATTCAATATCTCACTGGAAATATTAGATTTTAAACATTACATTGATGTTTTTTTAGTAAAATGATAATTAACTAAAAACCAACGTCTTGCCAGAAGCCAAAAAAAAAAATTGAACGTGATAATAACGGTGGCCCATGGGTGCCAAGAGAAATTTCATCCGACATAGATGTCGTTATTATATAAATATTTAGTTATTCTGATCTAACATAATATTTTGATTTAATTACTATCCAGATAGTATCCTGTTACCGTTATTAATACATTTGGATGTGATGTACACAATATTATTTTTCACTTATAAATGTTATAAACTCGTAAACTATTAATTTTAATTTTATCTGAAACAATACATTTTATTTTATTTCAATTTTTAAAGTTATTAGATGATTGACAATAATTTGAAGATATTATTTTGAAATACATCGTATGACTGAATAGTGAATAAACTATTAAGTAAACATTGATAATAAAAGACGGTTGTACATGATAACATACTCGGTGTTTGGAGGTAGAGTTTACGTTGGTAGCACTGTTTCGGCTGGGGGGGCCTATTGTCTGTCAATGCGCGGTGACACTGCGTAACGATAACTCGGTTGCTTATGCTTGGAAGTCCGGAACTGTCGGGAGAGTTTTTTTTCTATTGTCCAAACAAAAAATCGCAATTTGTCGTTGTGACTTGTAGTTCTACGGTTATTTTTCGTCGTGTCTCCGATTTATTTATTTATTCAGTGGCCATTACCGTTTATTCCGTTCCATCTCTAGTCGCGCGAGTATTAAAATGTGAACCGCACGGCTATATGTGCTGGTGTTTGGTGTACTTAAGTAATTGGTGAAACCCGGAATCCCGTGCGGTGGTTCGGCCTTGTGTGCAACGACTACATCGGTGTCGATTATCTGATTTGTTTTTTTTTTTGTCGTTCATTCGAAATATATGGATCGTTTTATTACAACATTCGGCGCTCTGACATCGAAACATTGTAGTAAACGTTCCACCCGCGACACGTCGCACGTCGCCATCAATCTATTGAACGGTCAATTAACATCCAAGAAGAAAGCTTCAAAGCATATTGAAGCTTTCGAATCAGCATTCATGGAACTATGAACCTGGATTCATTGTCATATACGTTGTCGCAAATCAGCTATCTCGTCGCTAATTTGTCGAAAAAAAACTACAAGTCTAGCGTTCAGGAAATATCAGACGTAAGACTTGACGCTAAGCTAAGCTATTGCAAACATAACTGTTGTCGACCTCTATTTAGTATTCTATGTATATTTTGTTTTATTAGTTAATTAGAGGAGCTTGAAAACTTGGTTTTTCTTATATCACTCCCTTTAGCTGTTGTATTTGTTGTAATGGACGCATTATGGTGTCGTTTTTGGTAATTATAATAATTCGCCCACAACAGAAAAACACAACTCCCAATCGAACCCCGTTTTAATGTAAAATGAAATGTACCCATAGAGTTATCGAAAACAAATTTTAACGATACATTTTTTTTTACTACTTATTTTAATAATAAGTTTGCAGGCCATATAAACTGTATATCCCATTTTATTATTATCTGAATAATTTTGATAGCGCTGTTTTTTTTATATAATTGTATAATGGCTTAGAGAAAAAAACTTTTGGAATCATGTACAATTTACCTTAATATTATGATCTAAAATTGTATCTATACAGACTATTTAAACGTTGGCTGCCGGCAGCCTTGCTTACGTTTCGCTAAAGGTCAACCATATTTTATTGACAATTGTGCTGTCGCCATACGGTGTTCAACGTCTTAAAAAAATGTCTTACTCATTCAAAAACGCTAGTATTTTTATATCGTTTGAATTGAATTTTATTTTTATAACATTGTCTATTGTTAATATATAAAGCAATTCAACTTCCTCAATGTGGTGATAATATCACGCTCAAACATCTAAAGAACAGAAATGCATTTAAGCCGTATTTTTTCCATCTATGTTTTTTTTAAGAATAAGTATTATATTAATAATAAATTATAATGTACCTGTCTTTGGTGGTCTTACTACAATAGAAATAAAAACTAATAAAATCTTAACTCTGTTTCAATTTATAGCATTAGGCGCTTGGTTAAGGCAATTTAGTAGACGTCACACTACCTATTTAATAAGTAGTATGAATAGGAATTCAGCATCTATATAGCTTTTTAACATCTAATTAATAAAATGTCATTCTGATAAACTTTTGTTAAACATTTTATACGTGATTAATTTTTAAAGGCAATCCAGCTGCAAGGATTTGAAGCAGATCGACATCTACTCCGTTGCCTATTTTCTCATATCGAGTTGAGAGATATCGAAGGTCCTCGAAATATATCACATAAGGATTATTATCAAGTTCAACATTTGGCGCAACAGTGTAAAACACTTTTAAATAAGCCTTCGCTTACTTCAATTTTGTGTTTTGCACTTGACAATCCGCTTGCAACTTTAAAAGTAATTAAGGCTTATATTTATTATCATATAACTGTTAATTTTTAATTTATTTAAAATCCACAGCCATTAAAACCATCAATACAGCTATTCGTACAGCTAAGTCGAATTTTACATCTCAGTCCTGTGCAGGAAGTTGTTTTTGGGTTGGTTTGTCTGGAATCGGCCAACTATTCAACATTCGCTTTACAGTTTGTGAAACAAAAACTACCCGAACTAATTAAATTGTACATTAACTCAGGTGTGAAAATATTCATGAAAGTTAAATATATTGTTTGTTAATCTACACTAAAATTCTATATCTATCAACTTATATATTTTTCAGAGGACAACACTGATCAAGTAACTGAAGGAGGATTACACGATTCTAGTCCTGAAGTTCTTCATTTGATTTTAAGTCACGTATTCACCGTTGATGATAAAGATTTTGGTATGATAAAAATGTTTAACAAAAATTAAGAATAAATGTAACGTTAACGATAATTATTTCAGGTATAAGTAAAGAAGTTAAGGAAGTTTTGTTGCAAAATTTACGGCGAGATTTTCCCCTCGAGGTCGCTCCTGTTTTATTGGCTCCTCTGATTTATCCTGATAAACCTGACCGCCCAATGGAAAAAATAAATCAAGATACAGCGTCCATTTCTAACACTATGGTAGTTTTCTATTTATCTTTTTATCTACTATTACTAAGTATAAATACTTTTTGTTTACAGCTAGAACCACTGTTAGCCGATTTGATAATGGAAATGGGCTATTCGGCTTGTTCTTCGTTGGAAGAATGCCGTCGGCATTTACTGTCGGTGACTGGTGGAAATAATCCATCCATTACGTTTGGTCCACAGTCTATTGCTAAGGTTTTATCAATGATGATACGCACTCACACCGGCTTAGACTCACAGATGACGTTGCCGTTCTGGCCTGGAGATAACAGTAGTCATGATATTGACAAAACATTGTCTAATGCAAATACTTGGAATGTCGAAGTGTTTGTACACACCGTTAAAGATTTGGTAAGATGTACATTTTTTAAATAACTGAGTTGGACACTAGAATCTCGTGTTTGAATCCGATATTAAATTTACTATTTTCTTTCAGAACCCATCGCTCTCTTGGTTAGATGTAGTCAAAGAATTGGATCATGCCGATTTTATTATTAAAGATAGACAAGGTTTAGTGGTTTTGTTTTCAACTGTTCGTCTTGGCCTCAAAGGTCAAGGATATCATATGGAAAACTTTCCTGTTGAAATGATTTACAGACACTGGTCACACTCTGAAGCACAAGTAATTAAAAATAATCTATTTAAAATATGTACACGTGTAAGATGTTAAATTACATTTATTTTATTTTAGATGTCTCTGGTACAACATATTCTTCAAAATTCTGACGTCTTTTGTTTTGCTGATTATCCATATCGTTCGGTGTCGATCGACTTGTTAAAAGTGATTCCCGAAGCTGACAACAAAGACATAAACAATTGGTACACTTATTCATTTAGCTAATATCTATCAGTAGATATACATTTTTTTAAAAATATTGTATTTTATTATGAATAAAGGCGTTCGATTGAACTTGTCGACCTAATGCTATTTTTGGCCGAACGAGGTCTCTGCTATCAAGTACAAGAATGTTTGAAGTTTCCAGCTCAAAAATGTCCCGATTTGTTAGCTCTCGCTCTTATTCAATCCAATGGACCATTGAGTTTGGTCAGACACGAAATGATCAGCGGTCTCATACCGATTTTCCTTGGCAACCATAGCAATGCTGCTGTTATTTTGCATCATGCATGGAACCATCAGGTATTTTATACAATTCTTATTTTGTTTGCCCTCAAACCATTTTACGTTGTTATTCATAACTATGTTGATTCTAGAACGTTGGACTCAAACATACTTTGGTTCAGGCGATGAGTGAATGGTACGTGCGCAGTGACCACGACCATGTAAAACTTTCACGGATTTTAGACATAGCCCAAGATCTGAAAGTAATAATAATTAAAAATGGCTTTTCCCTCAACAACTCAATGTGTAATTTGATCAAATTTTTTTCCTCCAGGCATTATCGTTGTTACTGAGCGTTCAGCAGTTTCCCTTTGTCATAGATCTAGCTTGCTTAGCTTCACGTCGAGAATATTTAAAATTGGACAAATGGCTTTCTGATAAAATTCGTGAACACGGTGAAAGCTTTATATCTGCATGCGTTAAATTTTTACAGGTAGGTGAATTCAAAATATTTAAAAAAACAAAATTGTATTTTACAATCATGTTGAATGTTTAATAATTGCTCTTAGAAACGATGCCCGCAACTAACAGGATCGTCAGCTAAAGATGAGAATTTATCAAAATACACACCGTTATCATCCGAAACTATATTAACAATGTTGAACTGCCTAAGAAATATTAATACTGGGTGAGTTTTTGACTTCAGTATAATACAACCAAATATTATATTAAAATTATGTTTTATGACATAGTATTGTAATATTTTTTTAATAAGAACTATTAATTCTGTCATGTAATTAAATATAAAAAAAAAACCAATTTTACAATAATAATTGCCAACAATTATTTGCAGAAATATTTCTCAAGATCTGTCCGAAGCTATTTTGATGATGGTAACCAATTGTACAAACATGTACATTTCCAAAGTGGCTTCAGCTCGTATTAATCCGACTGCTCCGCCACCATCTATTTTACGTACAGCTCAACACCATAGACCTATAGAAGGTCCATCTCCACAAGTGTTGGTCGATCAACTGACTGGGCTTGCTACCAGTCTTGCTAGTCTTGGACTCAACCCTTCAGTACAATCTGGTTCCACGTTTACTTTACCAGGTTTGAATATCATATATCATGTCTAATACTTTTTTAAAACAATTTTTTACTCAAATTTTATAAAACATTTTGTGTAGGGTCTTTGGGACAATTAGTTCAGACACCTGGATCGCCGTCTCGAAATCTAGTCGGCGGCAATGCTTCTGGCCATAGCGGATTTTCCATTATGACACCGTCTACAAATGCTCCGGGTCCGGCTGTTTCTAGTCAGCTATCGGGACCATCCAATATGCTGGGACGTTTGCCTCCTCAACAATCGACACCTTCGGCGATCGGCAAAGCTAACCATCTCAGTAAGTATTGTATTTAATCAACCTGAAGTTTTGTTTGTTTCTTTTAATTTATTAGTTGTTTTGTTTTTTTTTTAACAAATTATTAATAATAATAACCTATTGATAAAATAGACGTACAGTTGATATGACAACCTAGTTTTTCTACAAAATGTACTTAAACAAACAAAACACATATTATTTTATAGTACTTGAAATTTTGTCTGTATCTTTTTCTAGTTATGTCTCTGTGAATGTGCTATTACAGATTACCATAACTTAATGTGTTATATAATATATAAAAACATAGTATTTTTTTTTCCATTCTGTATGAATTGTTTGTTTTTATTTAGTTGACAATAGTTTATTCAACGACGGTAGTATGTCGTTTCCCATACCGAAAGATATTGAGGATGAAGCTAATAGTTACTTCCAGCGTATTTATAACTTGGCACCTCACCATTCGCTGTCCATTGACGAAGTGCTCGAGATGTTGAAAAGATTTCAAGATTCTCCAGTTAAACGTGATAGGGTATTTGAAATTCTTATCTACATTATAAATGCCGTTTATGATTTTGATTTACAATTTAATGTATTGTATTAATTGTTTAGGATGTATTTGGCTGCATGTTGAAAAATTTGTTTGAAGAATACAGATTTTTTCCAGCATATCCAGAAAAAGAACTTATCACCACTGCTCATTTATTCGGCGGTATAATCGAACACGGTCTGGTTACGTAAGTGTTTATTTAAGACTTTTAGTGTGTGTATACCTGTGTGCAGTGTTGTTATTCCTATTAATATCTTTTTAGAAATTATAGAGCTTTAGGTCTGGCCCTTCGTTTTATTTTGGATGCCTTAAAGAAAACTCCAAATTCAAAAATGTACAACTTTGGAATAACGGCGTTGGAACGTTTCAAACATCGTTTGAAAGAGTATCATCAGTATTGCGTACACATTACGGCTATTCCTCATTTTCAGCAATTTCCACAACATATTATTGAGGTGCCTAGAATTAAAATTTTAAATATTTCGGTTGCTGGTTAACTATAAATTTCAAGTGTACATGTTTTGTGTTTTTAGTATGTCGAGTATGGCAAAAATCAACAAGATCCTCCATCGGCAAGAGTTATGGATTTGGCCGCAACGAGTAACGGCACCATATCACAAGGAGGATCATTCATGCCCAATCCACACAATGCGTTTAAAGCCCAAAGTATTACTACTACAACCACGACAACTACAGTGTCTTCTGCATCGTCCAAACTCATAACTACCAATTCTGTAATGCCATCTAGGGTGAGTTTTTCGACATTAGACTATAGCTGCTTTAGGACAGTATTTTGATTTTTTTTTTAAACATCAATACTTTTATAAAATGTATGGATATATTACAAAAAAAAAAACTAACAATATTGGGGTGATACAAAAAAATAAACCAAACGTCAGCTTATACAGATATTATTAAAGCTTTATGTAATAAATTGTTTCCCTCCTGTTCCCCGGCAAAGTATTCGCAATATAAATTTGCGGCTGTTTGACGCAACATTTATAATAAAAAATATTTTAAATTAAATATTCATTTAGTATTTTATAATGATGTCTTTGTACTGATTAGATAATTATTATTTTGTATAGCCATCTATTGCAAATACCACAAATATCGACACACTGCTCGTTGCAACAGAAAAAGATGAAAAGTTAATTGTCCCACCCGAAAACGTCCAAGACAAAATAGCGTTCATTTTTAACAACTTGAGTCAAGTTAATCTTTCGACAAAGGTCTGTTATATTTTTAGTGTATTCGAAGTTTGAACTTAATTGTAACTAATTATTTTAAATAACTCTGTTTTGTATTTTCAGTGTGAGGAGATTAGAGATATTATCACCAACGATTATTTGCCGTGGCTATCTCAATATTTAGTTATGAAACGTGTCAGTATTGAGCTAAATTTCCACACATTGTACTCAAACTTTTTAGACTGTTTGGGCAATGAAGGTTTGAACTCGTTGATCATATTGGAGACTTTCAGAAACATAAGAGTGAGTTATCAGTGTTACAGTATATTATTTTATTGAGGTACAATCTTTGTAATGTTTTGTTGTTTTTTTTTCATTAGGTTTTATTGAAAAGTGACAAAGGAATGGCCAATTTTTCAGATAGATCTTTGTTGAAAAATTTAGGTCATTGGTTGGGTATGATTACGCTGGCTAAAAATAAGCCTATATTGTTGGACGATATTGACCTCAAAATGTTGCTGGTTGAAGCCTACAACAAAGGTCATCAAGAGTTGTTATTTACTGTGCCTTTTATTGCCAAAATTCTTGAGTCATGTGCTAAAAGTAAAGTAAGTAAAACAAAAAAGTTTATTTTGAATCTATCACTGGGTAGTTTGTCTTAATAATACATCAACATATTACATTTGGATATTTAACATATTAACTTAGTTTTATTGACGTGTCAAACTTTAAATAAAAGACAAAATCATGTACTAATGTTGTAATGTATTAAAATATAATACTCAAAATAAAAATGTGGGGAATTTTTTTTAAGTATTTAAATAAAGGCTATTAATTTTTCACAATTTTAACAGCATTATTGATTGTCCTTATATTTTTTGGGTTTGGTTTCTTTCCAGAAGCTATTCAATATTTAACCTGTATGTCAAAAGTTGTTGATTTAGCATTTATTTACTTATATACAAAATGTTGATTTTTTTTTTGGCTATACATAATTAAATTTTATTATCTTTCATAGGTATTCAGACCGAGGAACCCTTGGACGATGTCTGTCATGAACTGTTTAGCTGAACTTCATCAGGAACCTGGATTGAAATTAACATTGAAGTTTGAAGTCGAAGTGCTTTGCAAAGCTTTGAACATTGATCTCAAAGTAAGTTGATTGACCAGTAATATACATATATATATATATATATATATATTCACATGGTAGTTAATTAATTAGTACTTAAAAATTAATTGATTATAATAATAATAATAATTGTAACTATGTTTATAAAAATGTAATTATATTATTCATTTTTAAGGATTTGAAACCGGGTTATGTGTTAAAAGATCCTGAAATTGCCAAAAAATTAGAACATCAACTATCGTCTAATTCAGAAAACGCGAAACCTCAACCACAAGTACAACAAAGTGTTCCAGAGCAACCTAAAGTTTCTGTTCCAACGCCTCAACAACGACACACGCCTATTCTTCAAAGTAAAATATTTATAAGTAAATATATATATTATGTATTTATATATTTATATTGTAGTTGAAGCTTATTTAGACACTTCTTAAGAAATCCAGCATGTTACATACAGCGTAAATACTTTAAATTTTAAAAATTTAAACACAATTTTAATTGAAATTTCAATAATTTAGCATAAGCGTCGGTTTATTGTGTTAACAATTTCAATTTTATCTTCTTGTATCTAGTCGACGGTTATTATTCTAATAGCTTCCTAGTTTTTTTAATTAGACTTTTGTTTTTAATCAATATTAAGTGTGTTTGTTGTATTATGTGTAGCGATCGTTTCTTCCCAAGCACAACAGCCAATCACCTCTTCAACTGTCCAATCTATGACTTCAAATACAAGATTTAACGATGAATTGGTTGGCCACGTAGTGGCAGCAGGAGGAGTCACAACACTGACATCGACCGGAAGTATGGGCATCAGTGGTACGCCAGGAATGTCGCCACCTCTTCCATTAGTTGAGCCTAAATTCAATTATGTTACTTTCAACACTGCCAACTCTTCGCAAATAATGTCAATGATCACTATCAATTCTCAAGTAAATAATAAGCTAATTTAATAAATATTTAAAATAACGTATTATTATTGTTTGTTAACTAAAATGATTAACATCTACAGATACCATTATTTATAAATCAACCAACACTTAAGACTTATGTGCGGGCAGCAATCGAAAGATCGATTCAAGAGTGGATTAATCCCGTAGTGGAAAGATCCGTTAAAATCGCAGTCATCTCAACTGAGAATATTGTTAAAAAAGTAAATTTAACAGTTTAATTAATATGTGTAAATTGTGTGGGCTTGTTTTTATTAAAAATATTTTTTTTAGGATTTTGGTATGGATCCAGATGAGTCTCATTTACGTAAGGCTGCACATTGTATGGTTAGAAACTTAACCTCTGGCTTGGCTATGATTACGTGCCGCGAACAGATCATACAAACATTAATCACTAACTTGAAACAACACTTCTTGAACGTATTGATTGTAAGTGTATTAATGATTTAAATGTAACTGTGATTTCCTATAATTTGTATGTTTGTTTTCAGTCACCGACTCAAACTCAAAAAGAAATGATTGACTATGCGTGTAACATGTGTGCAAATGATAACTTGGAATTAGCGTGCGCCTTTGTTCAGAAAACCGCCACTGAAAAAGCCGTGATTGAAATCGATAAATATCTAAAAACTGTAAGTCAATTTTAACAACATTATTAACTATAATTTTAATTTTGTTGAAAATTAATTGATTCGTCTCACCATCATTATTTGATAGGAATTCGAAAGACGCAGTTTGTCTCGAATGGAAGGCCGTCGCTACTGTGACCAAATCGTGGCTAGTGGTCAGGCCGAATTTTTGCCAGATACACTACGTAATAAAGTAGGTTTACCGCTTCCGCAAATGATAGGAATTTATGAGGAATTTGCCAGAAACATACCAGGATTCCAACCGTTGGACAGAGAAGCCGTTTCATTATTCATGCCCAAGACTGTAAGTATTCTTCAGAGTTTATTGTCTTGGCAAGCGAAAATTATTATTGGTTTTGATAAACAATTACAGTAGTTACTAATGATTGTGGTAATTTTTCATAACTAGGGTATCCCTCCGGATGAGATAAGTGTCGTTTATGAGAAACTCATCAGTGAAATTGAAGCGCTCCTTCAATTGTATATGACAAATCAACGTATCCTGTCCAATACGACACAGCCATCAAACTTGCACGGCGTGTTGGAGGCAATGATGTCACTGAGAAGATGTCGAGATGTTGTGACAGCTGCAAGTGTCGTCAACAAAGTGAGTGATAAAATTTGTTTGTGATATTGAAATACGTGTCTAATGTTTATGTATTTTCCATATTATTTTAAAGGTCGTCGAGAGCTATTTAGATGGACTAAGCCCTTCTGCAAATCAAGATTTGGATATGAGCATCAGATATCGAGACATTCACCTCAGTATATTCAGAGCATTCCAAGATCCACGTGCTTATAATTTGCAGTGGACAAACAAAACCATAACAAAGTAAGTTTTTTTTATTTTTTATCATGCACTTAGACAAAATATGTTTGTTAATGTTGTTTGATTTTTCCATAGGGCTCTAATGGAGTCTAGGGATGAATTGCGGTTCAATTTGGACGCCGTCGATTTATTGATTCGTGCTGGTATGGTGAATATTAGCATGTACGACATGCACTTGGCCTTATCGATCGATAACGGAACCAACTATGTCGCTATGGCGTACGTTAAACAATTTTTACAAAATTATCTCATCGACAATCGATCTAATTCTCCGATTACCGAACACCATTTACAAGCGACAATCGAGGCTTTGAACACAGTTGTGCTCAGTGGTCGTCCTACACCTGACGGGTATGTACTTATTCAAAGATGCATTTTAAATATATGTATGCCAATTTTGTAATTGTGTGATGAATTGTATGTATTTAGGCTGGCAGCGCTCATCGAAGTAATAAGACCATCGCAGGCAGAAAACAATGCTTCCGTGGAAAGAATAACGAGTGGTAGTGGTGGTGGCGGTGGTGGCAGTAGTAACTCAACTGCTCATATACAACATGGAATGTTACAAGTTAGTATAACAATTTTAAACTGTTATAAAATGTACTATTTTGTTCTGGGTTTTTTTTTTTATATATATATTAAAAGACTAGCGGTGGTTTAGTCGTAAGATAATCTATGTACTAATACGAATACACCACTGGCTACTTGTTGTAATTGATTAATTAATTATTGATTCACAATTATTATGAACAGGGAAGAGATTTTGATGATCCACCTGGACTTCTGGAAAAAACTGAATACTTGCTGAAAGAATGGTTGACTATTTACAGTGCCGCGCCCAACAGAGATCCCGGAAAGACATTTAGCGTTTACATTCACCAAGTACGTCAATATTTTTTTTTAGCTATAAATTAAAATGATTAATTTTAACACACACGATGGTGTTTGTAGATGAATGTTCAAGGAATTTTGAAGTCTGACGACATAATAACTCGTTTCTTCCGACTGAGCACACAAATGATGGTCGAATTATGTTATCGGCAAATACCTGATCAGACACAGTCTCCGTCCACGGTACGAGCCAAACTTTTCCACACCATTGACGCCTACGTGAAGCTCATAGTGCTGTTGGTAAAACACTCTGGCGATGCAAATGCAATCACCACGAAAACTAATCTCTTGAACAAAGTAAATACAGTGTTGTAGTTTTTTTGTTTATATTACCCAACATTTATTGTTTATTGTGATTTTCAGGTACTTGGAATTGTTGTTGGAGTATTACTTCAAGATCATGATGTACAAGCCACTGATTTCCATCAATTACCGTATCATAGAATATTAGTTACTCTATTCCTCGACTTGAACGCACCCGATCCTGTACTAGAATCAATCAACTACCCAGTAAGGATTGTGATAAAATATTGAATAAAACGTAACACTTCTTATTTGTCTATTATCGTGTATTAGATATTGGCAGCTTTTTGTCATACTTACCACCTGCTACGTCCGAGAAAAGTTCCCGGTTTTGCTTATGGTTGGCTGGAATTGATATCTAATCGCATATTTATCGGTCGACTTTTGGGATTAACTCCGCAGCAAAAGGTAATTGAGATATAAATAGAAAGACATCTTTCAATGTATATATTAATAAAAATAAATTTAGCGACAGCGCACTTACGATCAAACGCCTGTTACTGATGTCCAGGGTTGGAATTTCTATGCCCAACTGCTGATTGACCTGTTCAAATACTTGGCGCCATTCTTGAGAAACGCTGAACTTGCCAAACCCGTTCATTTACTATACAAAGGAACATTACGAGTATTGCTGATATTACTACACGATTTCCCAGAGTTCTTGTGCGAATTCCACTACGGATTTTGTGACGTCATTCCGCCTAATTGTATTCAGGTTGGTTGTTATAGTGTGTATTTAGTTATCGATTTTCTGTACCACTACAAAACGTATTTTTTTTTTAATCCTATCAGATGAGGAATTTGATATTGTCTGCATTCCCGCGAAACATGCGTTTACCAGATCCGTTTACGCCCAATTTGAAAGTCGACGTTCTTCAGGAAATATCTTTATCGCCAAAAATTAGTCCAGACTTTCAATGTTACATTCAGCCCGCGAGCTTCAAAAAGGTTAATTTATTTGTTTAACAGATTATAATTATAAATAAAAAATCTTTTAAGTTAAACTAATATATGTTTTTTGTGTCATGTAGGATTTAGATTTATATCTCAAGACAAGAGCTCCGGTGACATTTTTGTCCGAGATTCGTACTACAATGCAACAGAGTTGTTGCGAACCCGGCATGCGTTACAATTTATCACTCTTGAACGCTATCGTCTTGTATGTTGGTACTCAAGCTATACAGCATATAAGGAGCAAGGGTTTAGTGCCCAATACTTCTACAATTGCCCATTCTGCTCATATGGACATATTCCAAAACTTGTCTGTGGACCTCGACACTGAAGGTAAAATACAATCTGCATTATGCACGTGAATGTGTATCAACAGTTAATACTTAAAATAATAATTATTTTTTATCATCTTGTAATATGATTATTTTATTTTTTACAGGTCGTTACTTATTTTTAAACGCTATTGCTAACCAGTTACGTTTTCCAAACAGTCATACTCATTATTTTAGCTGTACTCTTTTATATTTGTTTGCCGAAGCTAACAGTGAAGCCATTCAGGAACAAATAACACGGTCAGTAATTTATTAAAACAAACTTAATTTTTTATTTAAGTATCAATTATTATTTTATTAATGGTTATATGTAATTAATTACAGAGTACTTTTGGAGAGACTAATTGTCAACAGACCTCATCCGTGGGGCTTATTGATCACGTTTATTGAATTAATTAAGAATCCAGCTTATAAATTTTGGCACCATGAGTTTGTGCATTGTGCACCTGAAATAGAAAAGTGAGTGTCTTAAATAATGGTCATAGTTTGGTTTGATTAGCTAAGTTGTGTTAGCGTTTGATTGAATTTCCTATACAACACACAATTGTAATTTATCAATGAATTCTTTGTTTTAGGCTTTTTGAATCAGTCGCCCGTTCATGCATGGTTCATAAGCAACCAAATAACACGTCGGATGCTGCCGAAACATCGGACATATAATATATTACATTTAATGTATTAATTAGATAATATACATTTTATATCATATACTTTTGTTTTATAGTTTTATTTGATGAAAAAAACTAACTAAAAGAATATAATAATATATTATGTTAATACACGATCAAAAGACGATATTATAATATAATTTTTTCAATTGCTTTATTGTAAAACTGATCAAATATGAGAATGTAAAGTATGTTTATTGTAAATTGTAAAAAAAAAAAAAAAAAACAATAATAATGAATATTTATGTAGATTTGTTTAAAGGGTAGTGAATTTTTAATCTCCGTGTATAAAATCATACATAATATTATATATTACTTAAGTACCTATTTATAAAATAATGATTTCAATAAAACACAAATTAATAATAATGGTATGTATTCATTTCATATTACTATTACTTTGTTTACATTGTTGTACATTACGTGTTGAGGGGTGTTAACGCTTGACGAGTAACCGTACAGGTTATATAGGTTGTACCGAGACGGAAGACCGATATCCGGTCTTAAATTGTTTTCGATAGACTTAAATAAAAAAACAACTGGATAAAGTAGAGAGGTAAGGTAAAGAAAAAAAGTTGTGCCCCCATGCTTGGCTTTCGGCCAACCTGGCTTGATTGGCTCTAGTCCAAGTCTTGGTCGCCGGGTACTGCTGGCACTAATCCGAATTTCTGCATATAGATGCTACAAACGGCGAAAGGGCCAACACCTTAAACCCGTTTACCTGTTCAGGGTGGCGACGACACAGCCATATCTTACAACAGCCTGCTGGTGAAATATTGAAAAACCTTGCGAGTACATTTTGCCGGTTGAAAATGCTACACAAACAGCCGAAATTCGACAAAATAAAAAAAGGAATTGTAATAATAAAAAGATGGGCTTAAAATTGTATTTTTAGTATTATAGTGGATACAATATGTAGCTTGAACTATACCTACACTATATGTAAATACTTTTTTATATATTATGCTAAAGGAACAAAATCGTACTTATTTGTTATGTTATATCTAAAGGTTAAGAGACGATTGCAAGGGAGAAAATAATAACAACAAAGATAATTTGAAATTGGAGCACACGAAACATTTCAAAAGAGATCAAATTCGACACCGTTAAGAAGACACTGTTCGCCTTTGATACACGGTACAGTGAACTCAAAAACTCCAACTAACCTGGCAGGCTTGTAAAAATGAATTATTTGCATGTTGAATTTCAACTAAAAAATATTGTCAGCGAACTTGATCAAAATTTTGTTGTCGGGTGTCATTTTGAGAGGAGATGATAATTTATTTATAAAAAAAACCCACCCTATCATGTATATTATTTTCAAAACGTTTTTAGCGCAATCGATTATACAGAGGGTAAACAACTTTTAGAAATCAGTGTACAAATCTTTGGAGATCTGATGTACCTACACATTTTTCAATAGTGGTTTACCCTCTGGTATAATATTAAAAATGTTCCACTTTACTTTTATACTTAATCGTGTGTACTAGTATGAGCTATATGAAAATTATACACAATATTACAAAAAGTATTTGTCAAAAATGCTGGATGTAACATATTATTATTGTCCAAAATAGTAGATGGGGAAACAGATCATCTTGACATTGTGTAATCTTTATATTATATAAACAGTCATAATCATTATTTTAGCTGTACTATTTTATATTTGTTTGCCGAAACTAACAGTGAACAAATTCAGGAACAAATAACACGGACAGTAATTTATTAAAACAAACTTAATACTATATTATGTTTTACTAAAGTATCAATTATTATTTTATTAATGGTTATAAGTAATAATCCATTACTAAGTTGTGTTAGCATTTGATTGCATTTCCTATACAACACATAGATATAAAATATATTTATATTATATACAAAAAATACCTATTTAAATAATATTAACCATTTAAAAATTGTATTTTTATCATATCAAGTCGGCTCCCTGGGGGGTATTTTTTGGTTAAATGTACATTTTTGGGCTTGTTATGTATTGTGCATGTGCAATCATCACGTGACTATATCCTCGACGACCTTACAGCGAAGAAGACCGGACAGGGGCATCGTCTAAGCCGTTGACGAGCCATTGTTCGGTGCCGGAAGAGGTGCTCGCGTAACGTTGATTAATGGATCCGGTACACCGTCGACAGCCTTTGCGATATTGTTGTGACTTTTTTTCCCCACCGGTATATCTTTGTGTCCCATCGTCCCTGGCTGTTGTGCAACTGATATATATATGTACACGTGTCCGTTGATTTATCTCTCACTTCATTGGCCAATATATACATGTATCACCAGTTTGGAAAGAACAGAAAAAGTCAGTTTAGGCTAACCCTACGCTGAATTTAGAATATATTGGACTAGGTATGTGTAAGTTTCCCCTTTTTTTGGGGGGATTTCTCCTTAAACAAAAACCCTTAGATTTTTACAAAAAAAAACTGTATATGTTTTAGTTTTCAATTCTAAACATACTTTGGGACTAATTTTCAGACCTAAATCCCTAAAACTGCTTGAAAAAGTCTATCCCTTCTAGGGGAAAGGGTTTATGGTATTTTTTTTTTTTAGTTTGTTAATGTACTATGTAGAATATTCCATTAAAATTTGGAACCATATTAATGTTGATGCCGGCAGCATGCAATAGTATACCCAGGGATTAGTGAAGTCCGAAGGGTCAGAAGTTACCAACAACAAGTGTGGTCAAAGAGGTTAATGGTCAATATTACATAGAGAACTATATTGTTTCAAAATATTCATAATAACAAACTAGATTGTGAAATTCGTGAAAATAAGTGATTTATTTATATTAAGCGCATGAACAATATATATTTTATGTTATAATATTATGTAGTAATATAAAAAATGGTATTTTGACTAAGTACAAATATTTTATTGTTAATTTTTAGATTCGAAAAAACCTATGAAGAAAAAACACACAATATAGTATTCACATTTTTAGTGATTGATTGGTGGTTTTTTGATATTTATTCAGTAGGAGCTCGTGTAAGCAACTCTTTGTCATAAAAACCGTTGTGTAATAATTGAATAATTCTAAGCGTTTTTATTTTGAAGGTGAAATACCTTCCTGGAAATATCTTCTTGGCTTCATGTCAAAGCCAATTTTTAATAACTAAAATAACCATTTAAAATTTCCAATATAAATATTAGATGTAACTAAATACAAAATATATTATTTCTAATGCGTACATTATTCAAAACGCTGTTCATTCGCGTTTTTAGTGTACATTAATCAGTTGGACGTTTTATAAAATGTAAACAATTGACAATATTGTGTTGAAAAAGACAGGCAAAATGAGAACTGCTTTAATGACTAAGTTGGCGTTTTGGTTGTACCTATACAGTGGCAAATTGTTTAATTTTAATTGTCTAGTAATACCGAGCCTGAGTTTTGCGCAAAATGCGGTTTTCATTACAGAAATGGTAAATAAAAATATATTATATAGGATCACAAATGTGTGTTGGGGCTGGCAGTGTGTTGCCCAAGAAACGCGATACCCTGTGGCGTCCAGAAGGGTTTTTCTTTTGTCAAGTCCACTCGATCGAGTAGTTTCCATCCCCCCATTATTATTTATTATTGTTATTTTTTTCCCTTTACGGCCATCACACGGTTGTGTCGGAAACAATATGGTTTTATATAACAGTACAATATACGTATACTGTATACACACAACTATAACAATGGAGAGCTCCTTCTGGTCGTTACCAATATATAAGGTTAAATTTCTATAGGCAGCAAGAATAATTATTATTATTTCGCTACTGAAGTATAGGATAGTTCACAACTTGTCCGTTTTAAACAACGATAAAATATATCATGTAAAAAAAAAAATGGGTACTTACCGTACAATTGACGTTATCCTGGATCATGCCATGTAACAGCATTTTTAGCGTTTATTGCTTTTATTTGTCATTTATTTTGTAATAACAGCATTTTATGTGTTGCACAGATTTTTAGGTATGTCGATGATGGTTCAACCATAGTGGATAAATATTTCTAGCAAGATTTCAATTCTCTCGTATTAGAAGTAATGATGGAAAACTAGGTGGTTTGATTTTTACACATCAGCAAGTAATATTATATGAGCCGTATACCACGGAATCGTTTAGGTTTGCATCTTGTGCGGATCTCGTGTAGAGCTGCCATTACTTTACAAGAAACCGGAGTAAGTATATAATATACCGTGTCTTAGTTGTGCCTCGGATTTTCCTTTTTCACAGTCATTGAGTCCAAAAGGAAACGGAAGGGTATTATTTTTTTCCACCCTCCTTATACATGTATACGTTCTGTCCCCACTACACTAGTTTCCGGACGATCCACAGGAAGTCTTGCCGGGAAACTGCGGGCTACTTATTGGAATTTCAGATTTGACACGTCTATTTCGTGAACATGACCGTTTCTATTTTATTGCTTATATTTCAGCGTGGTGGATCAAGTGAGGACTGGAAGACTATAAAAAGAAAAAAACAAGCGTAGGAGCTGTTTAAAAAGTGAAACGGATAAGCTCTTATCCGGGTACAGATTTGACAAAATGGACTTAACATGGACTAGGCACTCCACACTAAGGTTAGGTTTATCTAGATATTATCGAAATTAAAATAATTATGTTTTTAAGAAAATAATATATTAAAATTTATAGCAATTGTTTGTTTTAGCTAGAAAAACATTAAAATTAGTCGGCATACTTAAAATGATTACTAGATCAATTTTCATCAAATATTGCCCATATTTTGCCTTTTAATAAATAGCGATTTCCGTTGCCCTTAATACATATCTGAAACACATATTATACATTGGACTTATTTTTAAGCACTATTGTTTATCAAATATATTGAATGCTTTTTGGTATATTGCAAATCAGTTTCTTGTGTAAAATAATCTCAGCTTTCTGGAAAAACAGAAAGTCATTAAAATTGAGTTTATAATCTAAAAAGTTGGGTTTTTTTCGTTTTGCTCAAAATTTGAGAATTTTTCTAATATTTTTTTCAGAGAGCTGAATTACATTTTATGTTTAAATTTCCAACTGGGTTCAGTATTATTGTTGGTGTTGCACAGAAATGATCAATGTTATCGGATCGCCGGTGGCCACAGACGTAGTAATTATTATCAAACCCATTTACATGATGTTAAACATTAACGACGATAATGACCGTATATCTCTCTCTATGAATTTATA